CGACGAGAGGGGAGACTTATACCGCTTCGGGTCTCGGAGTCTCGTAGTCGACGCGAGGGCGGGGTGCGGGCGGGAAGGAAGGGTGGCCGATGTAGAGAGACCCGTGGAGTGCGAGAGAGGCACGAGAAAGGCACGGAACCGCGTAGCGAGACGGAAAGAGAAGAGAGCGCGAACGACCGGTAGACGGTACACGAAGCGGGACGAAACAGCAGGAAAGGATGTGGAGAGAGAGAAGGCGAAAGAACGGCACGGAGAAAGAGAGAGAGAGAGCGAGAGAGAAAGAGAGAAGGACGTGGAACAGGAGGAAGCGAGGCAGGACGGCCGGGAGGAAGAGCCGCGGCCTGTCTGTGCCTCTGCTTCGGAAAGTGACTAATGACTAGCCGGCCAGACCTACCTACTCCTCTGCCACCCTCGAGGCGAGCGAGCGAGAGAAACCGGCGTGGTGAAAAAGAGAAGAAGAGAGACTCCTCGCTCTCCCGTGAGAGTTATCGCGGTGGCGAACCTTTCCTCTCTGCCGTTGTTATCTCGCGGCCCTCGACGACGGTCAACCGTGAAAAATGAGTGTCGCGAGCGGGTGATATTTTGCGGGACGCTGTGGCGAAGAACGGAAATGGAGAGGCGAGAGTGAGAGACAGAGAAAAAGGGTGGGAGGGGGGGGAGAGAGAGAAAGAGAGAGAAGAAAAGCAGAACGGGGAATCTCAGCGGCACGCAAAATCCCGTGAATGCCGCCGCCGTTGCCGTCGCTGGGCGGGACGAACGGAGAAGAGGATGAATCCTCTCCTCTCCGACCACCCGGAACTGTGAATCTCCGATCGATGGACCGAACGAGCGAGCGAACGAGCAAACCGGCGGAATTCTAAGCGCGCCCGCTGCGCGCTCTTCCCTTTCCGTGAGAAAGAGTGCCGCTTCCGCGCCCGGAATCCCACGGCATCGCGTCGCGCGCGTCAGACCCACGCAAACGGCAACGATATCACTAATAGAACTGTAATTTCGAGAGGCGAAGTATGAGAATAACATCTAGCATAATTACTCCCTTTTTCTCGTACAACTTGTATACAAATTATATTTTTACGACTCTTTGACCAAAAAAAAGTATGCATTAACACATCCAATTTTCTTACGACTGAAGACATATTGAAAATACAGACTATGTCGCTTGATTAGTATTGATTGTAATTGGTTCTGCGAACTAATGCAACAGCAAACGAGCGATCGAATTTGACTTCGACGCGCTTCGACGCGAGATGTTCCGCGAGATGCTTTGCGTTGGAATAAGATTCGCTGACGGCGGTTTATCGACGTGGAAACGCGGGATAAAATAAAGCCGTAATCTTGCCGGTGATTTGGAATATTCGAGGCGCGATATCTGATTTTTGTGAGACCGGATAGCGATCGGCGCGCGGTGCACTATTCCAGCCAAGGAGAGCTGTGAAAGCGTCCGCTTCTCGCGATAGAGTGAAATGTAATTGAGCAACGAGGAAAGGTATGTGTAAGAGAGCGTCTTACCGCGTCCGGTGCCTCTCACAGATATACGAATGATAACGGCACCGTAGCTCTGATAGAGGAAATGATAACGATGGTGAAATGAACGATGCTCGCGGTAATCAACGTAGAAATTTTTTCAACAATATTCAAGTTTTCTTGTCAAAATGCTATAAGAAATTTGTACAAAGTAAAAGAAAAATTAATCGAATTACTGCTAGAATAATTTTTTGATTTATATTATAAGAGAGAGAGAGAGAGAAAGATACAAGTATCGATAATGTCTAAGGTGTATTAATTAGGTTTTTATCCCAATATTCAACTGTAAATTTTACAGATTAGATTATCGTTCCGTTTACCGAGGTTATCCGTCATCTCATGACCAGTTTAATCAAGACATTCCGGCGTGAGTAAATCGTAGGATATTCCCGGAATATCCCAGCGCAGACCCCGATGATAGGGCGTGCACGATGGCGTGGCGCTGTGTAAGTAATTTAGCGCGTTATCGGAGAGCCTTGAAGCAGCGTATCTGGGCGTAAGGCGAAGTAAGGGGTTCTCGTGGGTTTCGTTTTGCCGAATTCCGCGAGGAAACGCGGGATAGAAAATCGCGGAAGCGTTACCGAAGAAACCGACCGAACGGAGAGCGGCGTGGCGAGAACGACCCCTCTCTTTTTTTTTTTTTTCTTTCTTTCTCTTCGTACTTGGCAAAGCTCCGACAACTGGATCGAAGCGCCGTTGCACTGACGGAGGTTTTTTCCCCCTCCGAGGGAGAGGCAGCGGCGGCGGCGGCGGCGGCGTCGGCCACCGGCCGTGCCGTTGTACGCGCGTATATACATAATTAGACGCAATTAAGCGGCTGCCTTATCTGCGCGCGACGAGTTCTCTCTCTCTCCCTCTTTCTCCCCTTCTCGCTTGCCGAGCGTGCCGCGCCCGAGATTTCTCGCGGTTTTTCTACTCGCCGTGGAGATAAATCCCGCCGACCCGTAAACCCCGCGTTTCAATGGGCTCTTCTCCGCGCGCGCCGTCGCGCGCGAAACGACCAATCTGCGTGGATAAAAGCGCGAAAGTCAATTTTCCAGGAATCAGGATAAGAAAAGAATTTACGGGCTGGATATGGGACAGTTTCGCTGCGACGTTATTACCTTTCGTACGGTTAGCGTGCGTAACGAGATTATTGCAATCGTTCCTCCTCTGATCATCTCTCTCTTCAGAAGCTTGAAGGATATAATTTTTTTAAAAATCCCAGAAGAATGTTCAACGCGTTGACATTAATAATTAAACTCATCTCCGATAACGGACAGTAATGATTAGAGAATTTTTAACAATTTTATAAATTTAAAGATATGTTTCATTGGATGTGAATCTTTCATTTCGGGGGTCAAATAAATTCTGAAATATTGAAAATCTTATAAATAAGAAACGCGCAAAGTCTATCATGATTTCAGTGATACGTCTCAACGTAAAGCTATCTGTCGCGTCTCGATCTAAATCACGGTGACTCTTCGATCGTCGAGAGATTATCTCTCGGACGCTTTTCGCAAACACTCGCTAACTTAATCCCGTCTCTCTCTCTCTCTCTCTCTCGTCGGTCGTTCACGAGTTGGGACGTGAGGGACGTCCCTCGCGATTACGGACGGCAGGATAATCCGCTTGGACGTACTCACCTTGTTGTGCGGCGGCATCGCGGGCACGTAGAGCGGCGGATCCAATCCCGGACTCGTGACGGCGTGACGTCCGATAATCCTGTCGGCCGGTTTCGCGTCGTAGCCATCCGGCTGGCCGATGTGGAAACCCTTGTTCTTGACCCAGAAGCGGAACTTGCTGTTCTCCGCGCTGTTGGCCTCCTCGCCCCGCAGCGTCCGTAAGATGCGCGCGTATTTCTTAATGGTGATCGTCTTGGTTTTCGCCAGATCGCCGTACGTCTTGATCACCCACGGTTGATAAGCGGTGAACATGGCGTCGTTCTGAAACTTCCTCGACGCAGCGGCGGCTCCGTCAGCCCCGCTCGGGCCCTGCCCCTTTTGCACGCCGTACGAGCCGCCGTTGACGCTCGGCGACGACATGCCCGAGTAAGACATCGCTATTCCGCTCTTCGGGTCCACAGCGCCGTTCGCCGCGTATCCGTTGTTTAACGAGTTTGCGGTGCCGGAAGCGGCCAAGGAACCGCCAGTCATGTTGGAGATGTCGAGGTACGAGACCGACGAGCTCTTGCCGAGGTTCGTGGCGTTGCCGACGAAGGTCGCTATGGAGGTCGACATGTAGGGCGCTATCGGCGCAGGAGGCATGCTGAGGCTTCCGGCGCACAGGCCGGCCGTTTGTCCGCCCGTCAGGCTCAACCCGGCCACGGAAGCGTACGACGGCATGTCCGACATGTTCGACGTGGCCGACCAACTGGTGGCAAGCGCGGAACCCTTCGATATATCACTCGAGGAAGAAGCGCTGCTAGCCGTCGAAGTGGACGATGATTTTGTCTGGGTGGCCGATCTCGAGACGGAAGTTCCACGGCTCTTCGAGTTCTGATTATCGGCCGTCGAGGCACTCGTGGTCGTAGAAGAGGACGCTGAGCAGGTAGCGGGGGAAGAGCAGGAATTACCCTTCGCTCCGCTCGTCGAAGTCCCGCGGGACTTCTTCGTCGGCGGCTCGTCCCGGGAACCGCCGTTCATCGAGTTCAGATTGCCGTGGGACGGGCTGTTGTTGTTCTCGTTTCTCGAGCGCTTGCTCGACGACGACGTGCTCGTCGCCGTGGACGGCGATTGACTCGAGGGAGTCGGCGAGCTGTTCACCGGCGCTCTGCGACGTAAACCCATCATTGTCGCACTGGCCATATTGTCATTCGCGTGTCTACGCGCCACGATCGCCGTTCTATTCACTGTTATCTCGCAACATCGGCACTGAGCACTTTAATCACTAGAGTATCAGAGATCATTCACAATCACACGTAGTAACACTGTGACGTTTGTTCGGCTGACGATGATGAGAGTCCTTCGCGGCGGCGCTGTTTCTTCGACGAAACGCCCCGACGTTTTCCTCCGGGGACGACGATGATGACGATGATGACAATGGTGCGTCTGAAAACAAAAGAGGGACGAAATGTGACGAGGAAAATTAGCTATGCGCAATTAAGCGGCGGAAACGTTTAAACGCGAGGGCGCCGCTAATGGACTACTAGCCGAGAGTGGGTGGGGACTATCGTCAGTGGGAGAAGCGGATTATAAGCTGCTCGGATATAATACGCGGCAGAAATTCACTCGGGAAATTGACTCCCGTCGCCTTCCACTTTCTGTCCGATAATAGACGCGGCGCCGTCCGCGCGAAACTCGCCGCCTCGCACGCTCGATCCGATCCGAATCGCTCACGTCTCTCTCCCGTGCTTCTTCGGATCCGTTGATCCGTTAAGCACTCAGCGGTCTTGGCCGATGTGTTTATTTTGAAAGTGATGTAAACGAAATTTCCGAAAATCTCGCGAAAATGGATACGCGAATGACGGTTTGTGTTTCTAGCTTCCTTAGATTCATCACGCTTCGAAACCCGCTGCTTTTCAAATAAACGGCTCGCGACTAAAATCTACATACCTTCCTACCTTTTTTTCGTTTCTAGAAATACAATCGAAGTATACTGTTGTTGTAAACAATGGGAAGGATTGAATTTCCTTCGCGCCTGAAATAGAAGCCTCGCGTTTTTTCGCGATTATCAGATTTCAGCTCTGAAATCGCGTATGAAGAAACGGAAAAACTTTTCGCAAGAGCGGGGCACTAGTATAGTCAACGAGACTGCCGCAATTATCCAGCGGCTTGCACGATGTACTAAACGGAAGAACCGGTTAGCCACCGCAACCTTCCTTTCGCGCGTGGGCCATTTTTGCGCTCCGCGTATATGCTCGCGACATCGAAACTAAAGTGTAATGCGCCACGTGTCATCCGAAAAAAAAACACCCCGCTCTGCAGGATCGAACGGCTTATTGCTCTCAACCTCCTGCGGCGACACGGGTGGTGGTACGGCCGGAAAATAATGAGATATAACGACCTAAAAATGAAGCTACCCCATCGCACGGTTCTCACCCCTAGATACACTTCGACACCCTCGATGTCACGCCCTTCGATGGACATTCTACCTCTCGGTGATCTATCGAGACACGGTACAAAACTGCGACAAACATAATCGCATTTTCCTATCTCTAGAAATCTTTCTTAATTTCTTATCAATATTACATTATTAGTATAAATGAAGAAACTGAAATTATGTACTGAAAATTCAAAGTAGCTAAAATAATAGTAGCTACGAATTTTTCAATCTGTGAAAGAGAAAAATGTTGTCTAAATCATGTTACACATATTATTAAATTTGATAAATCACCAATGACCTGCCGTTTCACGCCAACAGCTTCAACTACAATGTATAAAATTTCTCTCTAATAAAAGAAAGCTGTTATATCAACGCTTTCGTCTGAGTATATAATATCAGGTGTGAATTCGTATATCCGCATATCACCGCAAATGTATCGAAGATCTCCAGGATAAACGCGGGGCCGAATAGTACAATCCGCAATCACGGTGCGAACCTAAGAGCGGGAACTAATTCAATAAGGTCAATCGAGCCGTCCGTCCACTTCGGCAGCTCGCTGTAACAGCCGGAGGACGGGTTGCCCTTAGATCGTAGAACTAGATAATCCTTAGAATATCGAATCACTCGCGGCCACCGGTCTGAAATATCACTTGAAAATGAAAACCCGCGGCGCCGCGGAAACAACTAATTCCATCGGCCTTGCGCTAATGCGCAAATTATTAACAACAGGACACGTTCAATGAGCACAACTTGCTAGGATTGTCGCGGAATGTAACTGCCTCGAAAAAGTTCCTTCGCGTTACAAAACACAAATTATGCATCTTGCTTCTTACATAATTCGTAAATAAGATAAGTAACGATCAATATTATTTGACTGACGTTAGCAAAATCGATTTCAATTTAAAAGAAACCATTTATCCTTCAAAAGCTAATAATTTATTCTAAACACGAATTTAAATATCAATCAAATACTGATAGGTTTGTTACGTATTATAGATTAATTTAAAATCGCTAAGAGTTGGCATAAAATTAATATGAAATGAATAATATGAAATTAATATGAGATGTTCTTGCGAAAGAGACTTATTATTCTACAATAAACTGAGACATATCCCTTCATATTTCATTTCGATCGCTCGATATTGGCGGGAAAGTCACGCGAAGGATCGGTATTGAGGCGGATTTCTTATTTTCGCGATTATCGCCCCCGGGAATGTCAATCAGCGAGCGGATCGGCCAACCGACCGATCCGGGTAAAATGGCAGGTCTCTGCGGTTTACGCCAGACAATCGGGAAACAAGCTCACGGGCAGGAACTAATTCAATGAGGCCGATCGAAGCGTCTAGCGCGGTAGCTGGCATAATGGCCGGGTCACGATATACGCAGTCTCCTTCAACTGACAGAGAGCTGCCCGAGCGAGCGGCGAGCGAAATATGATGAAAAAGTCATCGGGATATCACCGCCAGGAAAGCAGCATTGTCCCGCGCAGAGATACGATCGCGCGAAAAGGTTTATTTCGAGAGCCGCGATCCTGGAACGCCTTAATTAAGCATTTCGATTGGCTCCATTAAGTACTTATTAACTACCGCAGCCGCGTTTAATTCGCGCCGCCGGACCGACCTCGCAGACGGAAGATCAATAGAGAGACTGAAGCGGATAAAGTCGACCGGTACTATCGAGCAAAAACGTTCGCACTCTTTGATCGCGGATGTTTCCAATCAAGACGAAGGATATGATGAAAAAGATCTTAATCGCGACGTGATGTTTAGACAATAAGAAATGCTGTCAAATAAAAACATCGATAGTAGGTTTAATTCGAAAAGGAAATAGTGGATACTTCGATTCTGAATACAATCGACGATTTTTATAACAAAGATCTCGATTCAATAATCATTGAAATCACATCGAGATATGTTAAAAGCTTACGTTTCGGTGAGTAAAGTTTAGGATATTGCTAACGACTTCAATACTTTTTCAGAGGATCTTCTCTAGAAATTCAAAATTTTTACGTTACAAAAGAAACTTGATAATTGTCTGAAGCGCGAAGTCCTTCAAATTAAATTATCTCTCCGCGTTCCGCGTTTCACCGCGCACAGTGGCGCGCGAACGTTCGTTGCGGGCAGAAATCCGACGAGATAAAAAAAAGAAAAAATACCCGCGAGCCTGCGTTCACGAATAGGTGACCCGATTAGGTTAGCCGCGAACTGCGCTTAGATAACTCGCGACGAACAATCGGAGAGACAAACCCGGAGCAGCGTGGAACGGGCGTCAAGGGGATGAGAGAGGGGGAGGGAGAGAGAGCTAATTCAATAAGGCCGATCGAACCGTCCGTCCGGCACGGTAGCCGGTATAATGGCCTCGGCGCGCGATATATCCGCGCGCGCGCTCCTTTAGGTGGCAGAAACGGGGCCCCGGGACGGCGATATGTCTCGGCTTAGAGCCGCACACAAGTCACGTAGTGGCATGGGACCACCACCGAGTATTATAGCACGTCGCCTGCCGTCCCCCTGCCGTTCTCCCCCCTTCGGCCCAGCCTCCTGCCCCCTTTACCACGTCGCTCTATCTCCCTTCCTCTCTCCGCGTGTCGCTCCCCCTCTCGCACACGCCATCTCTTTCTCTCCTTCGTTCCCTTCATGTACATATTACTCGGCGTATAATGTGGGTGCCGCTCGCACACCGAGCGGCCGGGTGTCACGCTACGTGCTTCCTGCCCGCAGGCCATAGTGCGACAAAAGGCCTTATGTCCGCCCGCTCGTGGGACACTCGTGATCGCAATGTGTAATCAAGCTCGCATGGCCACTGTATTACCACGTACGCCCACCCGTTGTACGCGTGCATACGCGGCAGTTTCGGTTATCCGTTTCCCGCGCAGGACACCGCTATCCTCCTGCTCGTCCGCCTCGTCCCACCCGTCGATCGGTTTCGTAACGGCGGTGGTCTCTCGCAGCCGCCGATCGGCAAATTCGCGACCGCTCTGTTTTAACCGTCTGGAGAAATCGAGCACTCTTCGTTCTTTATTAACGCAAACAAAGGCTATATCTGCCCGATATTTTGGGGTTAGGTTCCCTGAAATAGATCGTCGAATTTTGAATGAGAAGATTGATTATATTTCCAATAATGGATTTGCTATTCTCTTTCTGCGACAAGATTTTGCAAGTGAAGTCTAAAAAGAAAAACGTAAAAACTCTATATTAAAATGAATACGTTTCCTTTTATTTACAAAGATTATTTGAAAATCATTTTCTTCAGCAGCATCGCGCTGTTTCACATCTTGCGATGTGATCTTCAAATACAGACTGATAAATTTAACTACTTACTGCAATATATCAAGCTGATTTATCGTATTACAATAAGCACTTTTTTTATTACTATTAAAGCAAATACGATAATAAAGTGTTTGTATTTTTAGCTTTTGTCAGATATTCTTGCGAAACTTTCCCGCATACAAATGGTGCAAGAGAGAATTTTTAGAGATCTGTATAATTGTACAATTTATATTTTTCATTCTTTAAAGATATATATATCTCCCAAAATCTTCCAATCTATTTCACGTTAATTAAAACTTTTTACTAATTACCACAAAACGACTCATTTACTCTATAGTATTAAAATTTCTAGATAATTCGTCAATGTTACGCAAGAGCTTTGCAATGTGGTATTGATTTTGGAATAAAAATCTGATCGCGAAATACTTTTGCAATCGCGGTTAAAAGATCGTACATCAATCCTGGCGATTTCACAAGTCAGACAGACGGAATTCAAGAAGTCCATAAAACGACGGTAGACGAAGTAATTTACGATCAATATAGACACATGTTTTGACGCGCCAACAGTTTACGTAGAATTTCAGGTGAACGTTCGCGACAGGATCATAACAGACGCATATAATTAGCACGGAGAATCCAAAGTCCCGTAAAGCGATCCTATCTGCAAACGACGCACACGAAAATCCCTTCATAAACGCGACGCGTTTTATTTTCAGAGCAGGTTAGCGTAACGTAACAGGACCGCGAGATGCAAGCAATATTAATGTGTGAATTATTTAATGCAAATTTGCGCAATGACACATTCCAGTCTTGTTGTGATCCTATTTAACGGAAGACTTATGCGAAATGCTATATCTATCTCTCCTCCCTCGGTTACTTTTATCGATCATTCATCAGATTACCGAGACTACCGTAAGATAGTTTGATTACTTGCTTTACATCCGATCAGGTCACCGCTCAAAGAGAATTGTATATAAAGCGTGATATATCCTCGCCACGGTTAACCCTACACTTTTTCTTTAGTTTTCTAAGTACTGCAATTTCAAATCTAGTCTAATAACTAACCTGAATCCGCTAATCGAATGTAGTTTGCAATTTATAATCCAAAGATAAAAGTAAAATAAAACGAAATCTTAAAAGTTCCAAAACTTATGGTATCCACTGGACACACACAGTGTCAATTTAATGAGAATTAATCGTTAAATCGCTTCTGTTGATGCGAGAAAATGGTGTTTAATTTAACACACCAATGGTCGATCGATTCAACGAAATGTTATGCATTAATAAACTCTTCAAACTAAAAAAAAAAAAAAAAAAATATTGCAACTGGAATCAGGACGAACCATCGCCAATAATGACGCGTAACAGTAGCACCGCGAACGAGTGCTTCGGATTTCCAATCTAACCCGCGTGCGTGTTTTCCAACTATGTCGAATTAAAACACCGATGAAAAGAACGCCAACGACCGCATGCGATCGAAAGAAGTGCGGCGGTCTTAATGCCTCGAAAACCGATAACGAGACTTTTCACGGCGACGCAATCTTAAGAGTGATAACTAACACTCGATCGAACGCTTTCACTCGTTAACGATTTCCCCTATCGAACTAATCTCACGCTGATAAGAAGCGTTACTTCCGCCAGAAAAATCGTTCGCAAAAGGACCGATTGAATTCACCGCGAGCCGGCGCCTTTCGCACACACGACGGCCCGTTAGATCCCGTCGGAGAAACCGTCGAACGCTCTCCTCGCGAGTCCCGAGTGGCAGTAAGTCGAATTCCCAAACGGGCGGGTGTGGCGAACGGCCCGCAACGGGCACGGACGGATAGACGCTGCTATCTCTCCTCCGTCGTTTCCACCCCCGACGAGCGGATTTTACCTCTCCGTTCCGCGAGACGGAGAGAGCGAACGGAAACCTCTGGACATTTTCCACTCGAAAAATAACGAGGACTTGGTTTCCTCGATCCGCGCCGTTCACGCGCATCGATCGATCGTCACATCGAGAAGCGTCGCCCTTTTCACGTCGCGGAAGGGATCTTTTCGCGCAATCTAGACGCATGAGGCGCGATACGATCGAGTCGGAGAGAGCGGCGCGGCGATTAGAAAAAGGAACGTTAACTGTTTCCTTCAATTACGCCAAGTTATTGCGTATTTACACGATCCTTCTCGGTATCAAGTGATTTCGCGGAACAAGAATAACGCAAATACACATGGAAGATTGATCAAAGAATGAATAGCACTTGTCTACGATATAGTACGCTACGATTCATTTCAGAATAATTTTGCGAGAGATTTTGTCGCTGAACAATTTATCGGCGCACGTCATCCGACGGAGAGCATAAGTGAAAACGTCAATCGATATAAATTAAAAATCTCTCAATATTCAATATGTTATACAAAAAGGGGATTAAATCGATAATTGCGACGATCCGACGGATGATCGACGTGAGCGAGAGCCGCTAAAACCACCGTAACTTTTTCCAACAAATTTTCCACTAATCCCGTTGAAACATCATATACGAATTACGCGAGAATTCCTTCGCCTCGCATCGCCGAAATTGCGAATAACTCCCGAAAGATGAAATTTCGAAGGAGAGAAACGTCAGCACTGGAAAAGCGCGGAAAATCGCGCGGACAGCTCTAAAAATGACAAGTAATGACTGAAACTCACTTGAAAATCGTCGTCCGCCGCACTGTCACACCGAGATCACACGATTACGCACTGGCGCGGCACCCACTCAACTCACGAGGCGTTCTTGGAACAAAGGGTCCGGGTGGAGATTGTTGGAAAAAAAAGACGCGAAAAAAAAGGAGCGAAATCTTGGCACACCGTGACCGAATTTGCAGCAACGGAGCGCGCGGCTCTTCCGTGTCCTCCGCGCGCGCGTACCGTCGAGTGTGCGAGATCCGTGCCGCGTGTCTGTCCGAAAGTGTCACCTCCCTCTCTCCGAGCGACTCTCTGCCGGCGAAGATCCGTGAAAGGAGGAAGAGGCGAGAGATCGTCCACAACCCGGTCGCACCGTCGGACGGTGGCGGCCGCTTCTGTGCTCGGCTTTCCTTTTTTTTCCTCGCCTCTCTTCTTCCTCCGGGGTAACCACCAGCCCGACGATGTTGACGTCGCGCGGCAACGAGGCGAGTATAGGAAGACCACGACGACGACGAGCAGGAGGAAGAGCGGCGGTGGAAGAGTAAAGAGTGGAAGGCGGCGCGGGGGTGGGGAGGGAGGAGGAGTAAAGAGAGAGAGAGATAGAACAAGGACAGACGGACGGAGTGAGAGAGAGAAAGAGAGCGAGAAGGAAGAACCGGAGCAAGAGCGAGCGCCGGCAGACTGGGTTGACTCGGTGGCCGAGCGGTATCTCACCCGCGAAAAGCGTCCCGCGATCAGGTGACAGCGGGAGTACACACCGGCGTTACTCCCGAGTGAGAGGGAGAGAAGTGAGACGGGATGAACGAGAGAGGAGCCGACGACGGAGAGGCAGGACAGCTGCCTGCCGCAGCGAGACAAAGACAGCCGCGTCGCGAGCAGAGCGTGGAGGGAGCGTAAAGCTGCGCGGAGGGGACGGCTTGGCGGGAGGCTAAACACGTCGGAGAGAGAAAGAGAGAGACAGACGGGTCGGGCGGAGGGAGACGGAGTTAGGATGAAAGAGACGCGAGAGGGTGAACGGGATGGAGAATGTGCCGGCGGAGATGGCAGACGGAGAGAACGATAGAACGGTGCTCGTGCGTTCGCCGAGTGTAACTCGACTGCCGAGAGGAGAGCGAAAGAGAGCGCCCCAATGGGACAGAGTGGGATGCAAAGAAACGCCGCGCGGAAGGGGAGAAAATTTCAAGAGAGAAAGAGAGGATGGAGCGCGGAACGAGAGAAAAAGAACGTCGACGAGAAAGAGAGAGAAAGATGGGAGGGAGGCGGCCGTGGGTGACGAGGGCGAAGTGGGGCGCCGACGGTGAGCCGACGAGTGAGAGCGTATACGAGAGCGGGGTGGCCGGCAGGGAGGCAGAGAAGGGCTCCCTGATCGCTTCTGAGTGCAAACGGTTCGGCGTGCGGTGGGACACTGGCAGGCAGTCGAGCGGGCGTACTGGCTGAAACTGCTGTGGATAGCGGGTGGCGAGCGGCGCGATACTCCACGGAACGGAACGGGACGGGCCGAGAGCGCCGAGCCGTGCCGGGACCCTCATCCAACACACGCGCGCACACAGACATGCGCGCACATACGCCGAAGGCCGGGGTGTCTCGCGCGTAGTTGCCACCAACGTGTAGGAGCACCACGCGGAGAGGCGCGGCGTACACAAACGCGTGCTCACATGGATAGAATCAAGCGGACGAGCGGACGAACGAACAAATGAACGAACGAACAAACGAACGAACGGATGGATGGATGGATAGATAGATGGACGGTCGGTTGGTCGGTCGGTCGGTCGGTCGCGGAATGTTGAGGGAGGGAAGAGCGATAAGCAAGGCACAGGCAGAGGCAAGCGAGCAAACTCGGTATATACGAGCCAGGATACGCGTTACTACGCCAACGGCTTTGCGCTGCCCTCGGCTCGGCTCGGCTCGTCTCGCTCGGGCGCCTGTGCTAACTCAACTCTGCTCCGCCGTCTCTCCGTCCGTCGGTCGGTCGGGTTCTCTATGCCTCTCCGTTGTCCTCGTCGCTCTAGCGTGACTCGTCTCTCGACGCGGGCATCTCTCGCTTCATCCTCGTCCCTCGGTCTGGCCGCGCCGTTCCGCCGTTCCGCCGTTCCGACCGCCGAGCCGAGACTCATACCGCGCCGATGCTCTCTTCCGCAAGTGCGCGCGTGCAGTCGTCGTTTCTCTTTTTCCGCGCCTCACCCGCCTCTTTCTTCCACCCGGAGTCCTATCGCGTTATCTCTTCTTCTTTTCTCCTCCCCCCCCTTCACTTTTTCTCTCGCTACTGGCCTTTTGGTTCTCTCTCCGCGGATGTCTTCTTTTTTTTTTCCTCCATCATGATCCTCGTTCATCGTCACTGCCGTCGTGCTCGCCGTCGTCGAACCTTCGTCTGCACATTTCCATGCCGATTTGATGAAGGTACCTTTTCAATACGTGTCTACTTTACACCAGAGTGATTAATTTCATATTCCGTCTAAATCTTCAGGCTTTTTCAGAAATTTTAGATTCAAATGCCGAAAAACTGGAAAAACGACTGAAAAAGCATTGAACTTTCTTTTGCTACCGATTCCAAAACTTCTACATAAATCTCAGGTAGAAATATTTCAAATTCCGGAGTGTTCGAAGGTTTCGACACTACACAATCGTCCGTTTGCGTTTTCTTTAGTTTTGCGAGTATTAACGCTGAATTATTCAACACGCATCGCGTTAGAACCACGCATCGTGTGCGGAATCACGGTTCTCGAGAGAATCCGGAGAGAAACAGGCCGTCGCGATTACACTTGAAACTACACTCGTAGGGAAGACAACGATTTGTCTAATTTCTTTATGCGTGCAAATAATAACGTAACGTGTAATTGTTCAAGAACAAAAAACAACAAAAAAAGTTGTAAGAACGAAAAACGTGTATGGGAACGCACGCACAAGATATTATAAAATAATACATGGAAAAATCACAAAAATGTTTCGGTTATAATTTCAAGCACTCTTCGCACAATTCTACGAGATATAATGAAGAAAGGAAAAACTTTAGATTATACATAAAAAATATTTAAAATTTATATAACAATGATTAAAATAAATTTTAAAAAATTAAATAAATTAAAGCATAAGAAACGAAGTCACTGATAATAATGACCACGCGCAACTACGGTATGATGTGTCAATTAATAGTGACTCGCTATACCAAAAACATACCTGTGTACAAGGGACTCGATATGATCAGCTAATCAGGACGAAGGACTCCTAAGAAACGATGTGACGGATGTGCATTTCAACGGGATATCTTGGTAGACTTTCAGTATTTCAACGTGCGTTTCTGGTTCTTATAATCTTTTCGTTGTTTTTTTTCTTTTCTCATCTTTTGACTTTGTTGAAATATTTCTTACATATTTTATAAATCGAAGAAAGAAATCCAAAGGAAATGTTAAAGTCTAAAGTCAGTACTTTATTACGCTTTCGCAATGCAAAAAGAAATCTTACACATCATTGTCGCTGTGCGATCAAATCACGCTTCGAGACAAACAATTCACGTACGTGGCGGAATTTGTAATTATCAGACTGCCATTGCGTCAGTGCTGAGTGCGACGTTAATAATAGCGCGTTGCAATCGCGAGAAGAGCGCAAGATTTGCGACGACCGTTGCAATTCAACATCGTCGCGACTAACCAGTCTTTCGCAAAACTTGTGAACGCGCGGGGCAGAAAGTGCTGACACTTTTGGGAATTTATCGCGGTACTTTCTAAAGAAGTATTATATTATTTGGAAAAAAATACTTAACTATTCTGAGAAAATATAATTTTACAAACGGATACAAAATAATCAAAATGATCCGAACCATCTTTCTGTTTCACTAAAACCGCCAGACCTTGAAGGTGATTTGCATTCGAGCAGTGACGACTTCTGTAGGGACAAAAAAATAATGGATAAACAAGAAAAAAGAAAGAAGCGGAAAGGAGAGATAATGGCCTAACATGCATGCCAAGGAATTTTACTAACAATAAGCCTTGCATAGTGAATCAAGCGGAAAGTGGTGCTTCGATGAAAGCCGCTAAAACTGAAAAAAGCGTCTATTGCGAAAATCGAGTGTTTTGTTTCCGATGTGGCAACGAGATCGAGTATGTGTAAAGAGGAAAAGGAAAGAAAGAGGAAACACTTCTTAACACTTTGTCCATAAATGACACTGTTTTTAAATTGAATATTGTCATTTGTTACAGATAACGCAAAGTGTGTGTTAAAATGAATATTGTAAGTTGTCATACTATATCAAATCGTACACTGTGATAGGATACATCATAACATCATAAAGATTGTCTAAAAATTTGAAGGAACATAAAATAGAAAGATTAAAAATTGAAAAATTTAATAAATTTACGAGAAACGACGTCGCGTACGTTACGTTATACTTAATAACAAAAAAAGCGACGCTAAGTGTCACTATATGTGTAGAATTCTATGTATTACACATAAACAGCTGTTTTTAGATTTATCAAAATAAAATAAATCAATAAAATTAAAATCACTGCATATATATTTTCTAATGCTATTATGTCATTAAATTGAGTTCAATATACATTACTTTGTTCACAATTTTGATTGCACATTTCTTCAAATTTCAATCAATCTTTTCTCTAGTGCTGTCATTTAGAACCGGGTATTTGGGTAATACCTGAGATAATCGAATGCCCGGATAATACCCGTTTACCTGGATACCGACAGCACCACTTTTCTCATCTATTAGTTTCGAATATTTCATTTATTAAAAGAATAAATTTGCAATTATCGTCTCTGTATAATTACCTCCCGTATGAAGTTCCGTATACGTATAAATACATCGCTTCGTTAATAAGATGTTAAGAATTTCAAAATTTCAACTGTTTTCTAGAAAGTGGAAGGACATTGGGAAATGAAAAATCAGTCCGTAGACGAGCGAGACTAATACACAGTAGGGGGCGGTACCCCGTGTCTTACCGGCACGAGGCAAACAGGGGAACCAGCTGTGTTCTATCCTTGTTCGGGTCGCTCTAAGGGGGTCGAGGATTATTAAAACGGACGAGGGACAGGGAAGAGAAGCGAGAGAACCGGGGGGCAGCCTTCTACTGTTACGGTGCACAGCCTCTGAACCGGTAACCCCCACTACACCGCGTCTCTCTCTTTTCGTCCGTCTCTCTTTCCCTTTCTCTCCTTCAATCTCCCTGATTCGGTATTCAAGTCGGAGCCGCGGTGCATGCTCTCGGTGCATAAAATGCCCCCCTACAATGATCCCAATCAACTGTGGTACCCGTGCGCGCGCGCGCGCGCGCGCGTGAGCGCGAAGCTCAGCAATCAGAGCCGCTTTGATGACGGCGGCCAAAAATTCGGCATTAATTCAATGAGAGACGCCGCGCGATCGATCGGTCGATCGATCGGAGGCTCGTTGTGGATCCGTGCGCGGACGAAAGTGGATCATCTATCTTGATCAGCGAGCTTGAAAGCCGAAACATTCTCAAACGAGCGTTGAAGCGCCCCTCGAGCGGCAACGTCCCGCGAGAAATAAACCGAGAGGCCCAAGGTTGCAGTAAAACATGATCGATGAATGCTATAAAGAGTCATCCGAAGAACTTTTACACACACATAGGCAAGCGGCGAAAATAATACAGTATTTGTCTACTTTGTAGAAATAGTGTTTTCATTAATTGTACAATAAAGCGACATTTCTTCACAACCTAATTTCTAAGAAAAGAACCCGTCACCCGCTGCGAAAAGTATTTGATCCTCTTTACTTAGACTTTTCAGGTCTGCTTAGGTAGAAAAGCTATGAAAGAGTCATGAGAAAATAGCATTTTTCACAAAAGTATAAACTAAAATTGACATTAATCATTTTCATTTTATATTTCTAAATATCGTTATGTCGATTTTTTTTGTCAATCTATTTCGGAAGGTATAGATATTTGATCTAATTTCTTTTGCTCACCTCGACTTGATTTGTGAACTATCCTTGAAATGAATTATTCTAAGAATCCTTGACATCCTTTGGAAACCCAGCTCTCTTGCCTAGAAAACACAAAAGATAATCATTAATTCTAATCAATTTTAAACTATTAAATTATCATATTTTCTTTCATTAATTGTTTCCCTAATTACTATCTTTAGAGCCTAACATATTTTTTACATATTGCATAAATTTTTTTTTAGTAGTTTACTCAATAGTTCAGAATCTAACGAAGCTAAGAAAATACATTTACACGGTTGAGTCTTTTTTCCGACGTAACGCCCTCGTTTCAAGCGTATTTGTACCTCTCCACTTAACCGTCGGGCTCAATCACGCGTGAACATTTCAGAGACGATTCCCTTTCCTTAAGCGGGACAGCCGACACACAGGCACGGTCCGTGGCGCGGTGTTTGGAAACGGTCTGGGATACCGTTCCGGGCGACGGGTGGGCTGGCGGTGCCGGCCAACGGCCACCACGAAGGATCAACACGGCAACGTCCCGTCACTAATTACATTCTCCTCGCGCAATCACGGGCCGCGCGTATATACACGGTTGCGCGCGTTTCCGCGCGCAAGCGTCACTACACACCGCCGCACACGTTACGAGTCGCGCCGTCCGCTGGCGAAAGTCCAAATCTCTCGGCAGATTAAAAGCTTCTCTCTCGGCGATCCTCTTGGCTGGGGGGTTCCACCTACGTTTCTCTGGAAAAGCCTCCGCGGAGCGGATCGGCGACGAATCTGACGCCAATCCTCTCCTCCCTTCCGTTCGCGTCTCGGACTAGGCAAGACACCTCGCGCAATCGAGCGTCGCGTGAGGGATCCCCACACTTTTGAGGGGAATCCTCTTTCACGTGATGCAAGCTTGAAGACTAAAAACACTGAGAGACTCCTCTCGACTCGCGGTCACACACAAAAATACATGCCTGTGCGAGCACGTTGAAAATATTATGAAGGACGATGTAAAAACTTTTGTAAAAACTAATACAACTCAAACTTTTCAAAATTCTAATCTTTAAAGATGTCCATTAATTAATTTTGCTGCGAAATATTTTTCAATTCTAAAACTGCACACTACGTAGAATAAATGAAAAAATTTGATACTTTGTCAGTTGATTATACGAGAGGAGACAAAGATGAAATAGTCTGTATAAAAAAATAGAAATTCGAAGGAATTTTAAAATTATAAGAATTACACAGGGACGAACGTGAAGAACACCTGCGAGCCGATTTTTTGCCAGATAAAGCTAACACAAATAAGCGGTATTATTCCTAAAAATACTAAATAGAATGTAGATACAGAAAACGAATACTGAACAGAAAACGAAACACTACACTACTTTATTTTGACTAAAGTAATTTTTACCAGTAAATTTGGATTGTAAGAAAGACAAACATACACGAGAAGTTTAGAATTTTGATCGTCGCGTTCTGAAAACTATAATAATTTGAATACCGTCGGACGTTCTTCTTATGCGAAGTAAAAATCTTTTTCAGGCTTTTGGGAAATCAATAGCAATAAAACTTTACCATAAGGATTTTGTGATCGCTATAAAGAGCAATACTATAAAAACTATTAAAAGTCTCTAGAAAGAGCCATTATTAAGCTATTAAGGAATTATCAAAGATCACAATTGGCAGTGTTGTTAGAAACGAAAGAATAAATGCGAGAACCTCGTCTACTTTCAGGAAATAGAAATGTAGTGGTCTTTTTTACACCAAGTGAGTAACGTCGATTTGAAAAGTAAGAAAGAAAGACTAGAAAGAAGAGAAGCAATTAAAAGTGAGTGAAAAGTGAAAAATCGCGAACGAGAGATACAGCTTTAACAGTTTTATGCTTCAACAGTATAATTATATTAAAATAGATTCAGAAATTTTATTTTAGTGACCGAAAAAACTTTATTAAAAAATCTATTATTTCTAAAAACTATCAAACTTATGCAAAAATAATTTTTGATTAAAAAATTTAATTGCATGTCACATAATCTTTAAATAATTATCTTGTTAAATATTATTAATAAAGAAACTAAATTAAAATAGTGAAAAAGTAAAAAAAAAATACAAACAATTAGCACACAAAATAAATTAATACAAAAAACATATGATTAAATGAATGATTATGTATCTATCGTGAAGTTAATCGTTATTAATTATCGTTAAGATATTATTTAAGTGTAAATATTCAAAATATTTGAAGAATTTAATGATAAAAATATAGTTGACCATATTCAATGGATAAGTAACACAATGTTTAAAATTGCGACTAAAGGATACGATTATATTTTGTAGCACATAAATATATTGGGAAACAATATATACCAAAACAATATCTTGAAAACATAGAAATGTGTGTTAAATGCAATCAAATGTTACTATTTTCTAAGATATTTGATATTGTAACTGCAATTCATGGAGTATTCGTATCGACTGTTACATTAAAATAAATCAATGAAAATCACAACTACACCGTTGATGAAGCGTATCTATCAATGTGAACAGATCACCGATCGAAAATTCAGGTAATAACAGAGAGGAGATAAAAATATTGTTTGGAATAGAGTCGATGTCGCTTTTTAAGCATGTATTTTCAGAGATATGACCCAGCAGACGCTCCGCAAAAAATCGCACGTATAAAGCAGCACTAAATGAACTGAATGGAACCGAAATATTTCGACGTCTACACATCGATTACATAACTCATCATATGTATTTGTCGATTTATTTTTCACTGCTATGCCACGAGAGCTTACAACGCACGATCTACTAGACGTTCTTGATCATCAACCGCGCACTACAGTCTGAAACATCTCAGAAATGTCGCGAATCACTCTCGAAGATCCTGTTAATGATCTACGCACGATTAGAACGCGATTGAATCCCGGACTGAATCCACGCAAGAATTTCTGTACTCGTTCCGGTACGCGCGACTCCTAATTCATACTTGTTTTTTTCTCCCCTCCCCATTTCGTGAATCTGATTCGCATCCTCTGGACCAGTTCTCGATCCCGGCGCATTCTCACGGGACGGGAGAGGGATGCTGATGCTGAGAACTGGACAACGGTCAAGCTCCGGCCCGCTCCTCGCGGGTCGAGAGGAGGGGAGGAAGAGTAGCCGATGCTGGACGATACACCACGAGATGTGTAGGGGTTGAATCTTCCGAGATCGGAAGGGTGAGCGCGGCGTGATTCTGGTTTGATTTTATTCCGCCGAGGGATGATCGCTCTCGCCGCGTGAGAAAGGGCTCTCGGATTCGACCTCTTTCGTCGGTTCTCGCCTAGCAACGCCGCTTCCGTACGTGACGTTATAGAACATCGCCGCTACTCAACCTCCCCAAAATGGATGATGGCTTCCCGCGAGAAATATTATCTCGAAACTTTGATCTGATTTAATCTGCCGTGACGATGTGCTCAAAATGTAATATGGTTAAAATAACAAATCAAAATGGGACGATTATTTTCATGAAGTTTATCGAAAATAAAAACTATTCTGATAATCGTTTACAATTATCTGAAAGTTTTCTGTCGAGAAAAAAATCAATTGCAATCATTCATAAACTCAATGGAAAATATTGTACTAGCTTTGTAAACTCCGTCGTTGCCTACGAAAATCAATCTAATTTTATAGACGAATATATTCAGATGCACAGGCGCAAGTTATTCAAGTTTCTAACGTGATATTGATCTTTGATAACGATAACTGTTCTTGATTCGTATTTCGCAAGATAATTCTACGATAAGAATTCGGTGTATGTGAGTTATATCTTATTTATCTTTTTTATCTTTATTTACTAGTAAAATATTTTCATCCATTGTAAAATATGCAAACACTAATACAACAACATTAGTGTTATTTATAATTTAGCTGCTAACCCGAACTGAACTCTTTCGAAAGACGAAAGAAGTATATGTATAATCTTATAGACTGAAAGTTAATGCGAGACGTTCAGACAATCCTGCAACTGGCTGCAGTTACGCGAAAGCTCAATCTCTCGCGGGAGAGACGCCCGGATTCGGGGTTCGCAATTAGGGCCGCGAATTAAGCGGCGCTTAAGCGCGAGCGAGCGAGACTCGGGCCGAATATCGGGCCACGCGATATCCCTGGGATGACGCCGAGTAAGTTTCCGGACATCCGGGATTATCCCGAGATCTGCCAAATATTTCGGCGATCCGGCCGATCTCCCGGGAAACGCGATCTTCCGTAATTCACGGTACTCCTCAAAATGTCACGGTGAAATTCTTGTAATTTCTATCGGAAGAATATATTTCGACCGCGAAAATAAAAATAATCAATTTGAAAAAAGGTTGTTTCAAACACATACATGTCTTTGTACAACTGTGACGTATAATTTGACTAAACGCAATAGAAAACATGATTTCGTCAGCCTTTAAAAATCTATTCATTCGCCAAGACTGAAATTTTCAACGTTAAGTAACTATTGATGATGCATTCCGATATCGAAATAACCGCGCTGTTTCTCTGCTTTATCCTGTAATAACTAGGTAGAATCGATCGGGAAATTCAATACTCGCTGTAAAAAAATCGAGAATATCGTCGTCCGTAGCGTTCGAATTATTGTACAAAATGACGGTTGCCGGGGTGAGAGGCGCGATGAAAAAGCGGGATTAGGGTGGAGGGTCGCGGTCGCTAAGTCGACGGCAGAGCGGCAAAAGAATTACCGGCATTGTTCCAGCGCCCGGGCCGCCCCTTTTGCGAAAACAAAGGGACGGGCG